TTTATGGTTCCTGTCTGGTCATCGAGTCTGCAAGGAGTTCAAGGAAAACTGTGAGTCTGTTCTAATTCATTGTTTTTGTTGCTGTTTCGGCCTTCATTTCAATTGGCTTCCATTTCTCCGGTCTTTTTTTTCGGTCACGAATTTGGCATTTTTTGGTTGCGATTTTTCTCTAGCATGATCGTGTTGTGTGTGGATTCAATATACGAATTTACTACTCAGACATTTTTCGAATCTCTTTAGGCGTAGTTTTTTGCGGAATATTTTTTCGGATATCTCCATTGTCTGTGAGTCGATAGGAGTTTTTATGATTCGGCTTTAGGTTGAGCTCTTTTTAGTATTTGGAGATCTTTCTTAGGCCATTTTTCAGTGCTTTCAATGGGAGACTTTAAGGACTCTTTTCGGCTGATTTTCGGTAGCATGTGTATTGTATTTAGACAGTATAGATAGTTTAGAATGGTTGTAATCAGGCAGTTGTCAGTTCCCTATGGCTTGGTGGCTCTTCCCCTTTTTTCGCTCTGGGTTTAATGTGGGTTAAGGGTTTAGACAGAATTTTGATGAATAAAAATGAAATAAAGACAGCGTTTGCGCGCGCGCCTTCGAGTGTGTGTGTCGGTTAGTTGTGGAGTAACCCCTACCTTGCCGCTGTTAGTTGGTACCGCTTGTATTCAGCTAATGGTGATGATCCCCTGAAAACTTAGTGTTTGGTTCTTAAGGCAGTCAATACGACTTTGCATGAATTCTTCTAAGCCTTGTGATTTGTCGGCTTCACAACACCCCAATTGGACACCCCTCTGTTGGTTTATACAGAGTGGGAAAATCCGCTACGAAGAACGGTAGCCTCCACGTGGCGTAGCGGGGAAGTAATTGCCATGGCAACCAGTATGCTTGAAATTGATTRGTCTCCGTTTTCGGTACAGGCAAAAACGAGTTGAACAGTAATACTTTGGGACAATTAATCAGTTTAAACTAAAAGATTTGAGGCAAAGCATATATATGAAGTAATGTAAAGTCATACTGGTAGATATAGCAACATGGCAGTTATTACGAATAACCGTTCACTTTAGATATACGTATAGCGCGCTTATAACTTACCCGGCCCACCCACCCAATTCAGTGGTGTAAGAATGCACGCATAACTACTCCAAACCGCAGGTATCCTAGTACTTTGTGCATGGATGTAGTTTTGAGGACTGGGTGTGATTCCCAGCTGAGGGGAGTCGGGT